CGTAGTGTTTATATGTCAGATAATACATTTGTATCAGAACAACGTCAAGTACATGTATATATTCTGAAACATGCCACTATTCGAATGAATTAAACGTGACAAGCAGGTTACGACAAACCTCTGGGACTGAAAGTCGACAAGCAGTGTCGCCCACATGCTAAGATTGGTACAAAGTTTGTACAAAAACATGGACTTTTTTACAAAAGTTAATGTTTTATAGGATTCGTGTACTTCTCAAAAAGGTCATGGCATTTCTTCCTATCAATATATATTGGTGTCATTCACCTACATGTACTTGCTTTAAACATTTAGGCCGGTAGCACCACGGACAAGTCCTAGAAGGACGAAACAGTCGTATGCAGTTTATTTCCTTAATTGGCTTTACTGTCTGTCTTTATGAATTTGTATCAAAATGTGCTATCTATTTTGTTTTTTTTTAAAGTCTTAGCAAAGGACAATATCTAGCTGGTGCATGGTACGGGCGAGCTGGTAGTGTACAGAACTACCGCAATGCGTATACGCCATGATCCAGTTTCTCACGAACAAGGGTCGGTTTTTAGATAGTTTACAGTACAGACAAAGTGTTAATTAGCTGACCGATGTTTAATGTGTGAGTTACGAACTAGCAGTAACTATGATAAGATGTTGTCCATATCTATCCGGTTTACTGTACAGTATCTTTGGATATTTGATAAAAGTTCTAAACTTAGCAAGTTTATTTTTTTCCGGTGCAAAGTTCGAATTTAATTTAGGATATAAAAAATGCGACCTTACGCATCACTAACGAGTTCTAGAAGGACGAAGGACGTGTATGCTTTGGTTTGATTGTTTGGCTCTTCTCTATCTTATTCAAAACTAGAAGGACGAATCAGGTGTATGATTTAGTTTAATAGTTTGGCTCGACTGTATCTGATTCTAAATTTGTATCAAATTGCTTTTCTCTCGTTTGTCTTATGTACAAATATGAACGTAATGTATGTTCAGGTTGCATCTTCAGATATGAGGCGTTTTGCGGTGTGATCCTAACGATAAATTCTGTATATTACGCAATTTCACTCAATTCCTGTTTAATAAAAACAAGATGAAGAAGGAAGTCTTGAAAATATCTATAATACACCAGGTGGGAAATTGACTACTAATTATCTAACGTAGAGCGGAAGAACTCGCGAAATATCTAGTACTATAACAAAGCTACTTTACCAGGTAAACGTTCCATTGACTGTGTGTTTTACAGTTATCCAAAACGATTGCGATTGTGGGATAAACTGTATACGTTACAGAACCAAGCATGTCAGCTTACAACGATGTCTTGCATTCGTCACAGAGAAAATCAAATTTCATTACAAGAATCTGTGCGAGCGTTTCTCTTGGAAAATCAAGGAAGCGTTAGGGTAAAATTTAGCAATAATGCGCAAAACGCTGATTCAGAAATTAAAACTGTAAGACCTACAGGTCGTGCCATAAATGAATCTTGCATAATATAATTCACCGCTTTGGGGCAAATTTGTTAAATCTTTAACGAAACGGTGTTTGCAAATAGAGTCATATATCAGAAGCAATCTATTCTATTAGGACCCCGATCTCACAACGTGATAAAACTACAGCGGAACGCTGACGTCGTTACATGTAGCGATAATACAGGCAAACCTCTTTCTGATGAGGAACAGGGTCTAGGCTTGAGCGAAAACAGCGGATAATTTGTTTTCTATATTTGTAACGTTTTTGTCAATTACCCTTTCCAAAAAACTGGCCTGAAATATTGTAATTAGATAACGCAGCATACATTGATTTATTCGTGTAATATTATAGCCGACTTCAAATGCTACATTAGCACCATAATTGAATGTGTTTTTTGTCAAATTGAGAATAATGTAGCTAGATTTACGTATCATTAGATAGTGCATTGTGATAGGTTTGTGTTTTATATGCTGTAACCCTACCCTAGACCGAGAGGTTGTGCTGCATTTCCATAGAAAAGAGTTAAGTGGGCTTCAATTTGTAAAACATGAAATTTCCATGAAATGTATAACACGTATTCAATCACATCGTCGTTAAGTTCTCCAGTCTAATTGATCAATGATTAGTCTGCATGTTATTGACGATTTTCTTAGATCTTTAACATCCTCAGCAACACCAATGTTTTGGAATTGCAGATTACATAGAATACGGATCGTATTTTTGTCTCAGTGATCATACCCTCATGGAGGTTTACGCTTATTGGTTTCTCATACAATGTTAATGACTAGGAGCTGAGCTTACATCAGTGCTGATATTCACGAACGAGTTTGAAGACAATTTAGTCCACTATAGGTTACGTTGAAAATTGGTTTCGTATCTAACGTCTATGTTCCACTTCCTAGATTGGAGATAAACAGTGATTTGCACATTGTCAAATGGTTCCATCTACAGTGTATGTATGCTTCAAATCAATAATTGCTACCGATACCAACTGAGATCAATATTTTGACAAAGCATTATTGTAATACATCGCGCATTTGCCAACATATCAGACATGAATAAAAAAAACGGAAAAGATGTCAATAAAAAGGCGTAAATACAGCTTCCGTTTCATTTATTGAATATTTTTTTGGACACAAGTTGACAGATTACATTCCCAAAAAGTTTTGACTTTACTCAGAGGCTGTCTTAAGGTTGTACCAGCAGTTGCAAAACTCATTCGTTCGATTTTTCCTTTGTGAGCAAGAGGCACAAAGGCCTCAATCTAATTTAAGTGCAAATTTCCAGACGGGCAAACTCGTTACACAAGGATACCAAAAGATGCAAGATGTGAGAGAGAGAGAGACAGAGAGACAGAGACAGAGAGATAGAGAGACAGAGACAGACAGACAGACAGACAGAGAGGGGGTGAGAGAGAGAGTGGGGGGAGAGAGAGAGGGGGGGGGAGGGGGAAAGAGAGGGAGAGAGGGAGAGAGAGAGGGGGAGAGCTCATAGCACAAAATTAGATACAGGCCATGTAGTATGAAATGTTACTGTAATAAACTAAGGCATTAAATGGAGCACAACCTTAGTGTTAACAGGAAATTTCCACTTTCTATTAGCTTATGTGTACCAATCCCACGCATTTGAACTTTTGGTAGCTAGTGTTTTGGAAAGGCAGAAACCACAAGGAAGAATAACTAACATTTGCTACCAGGAAGACAAAAACTTCCGAAGTATGCTAAAACTCTGTTTCCGTATACATGTTAGACTCTTCTAACTCTTACACAGACGTCCACGTGCCAGCCAGTTACGTACACAAGAGGATCATTATCTTGCTTACTCATATCAAAATCTGTCAAATCGTACTGTAAGCATTGAACACCCGGAACACATTATGCCATTAAACATTTCATTACTACTCGTATTGTTTTCAGTCAACTAACTTCAGATTCTTGTCTTAATGAGAAATAATGGCATTCTCATTAAACCATAATTGGATGTTGTGTCGTTTATCTAAGAAATCTATTAATTATTTGCAAGGAAGATCCATTACGCTGATAATGTGTATACGGAACAAGTTTAATTATTTCGAAAAAGCAAGATCAGATAGCATGATCTAAAACAAGATAAAAGGCCTATAGAAATTTACTTTTCAATGTTTATTGTGTTGTCTGTCATACAGAAATATTCCGTTCGTATTTATGTCTCCTCTTTAGCCCAAACTGAGAGGAACTGCAAATCTGATTCCGGCATAGACGTTTTAAAGAACATCTTAACATCTTTACATGTACATAAAATATGGACATGATGAAAAAGTTACTTGCTACAAAATATTTATTCTAACATGAACATTTAGTCATTGAAACATCAAAACGTTTTGTATTGTTTTATTTCTTTAAACAAGTAACACTTTGAGTTAAACAGTTTGCTTCCGAAATGTAAATATTTGCGGAGTTGACGTCACTTTTGAAGCAGGTCACACATCGAAGTGCTAACCAGTGGCCTGCGATGACAGCTCTGTACATGAGCTAGATTGCGTGCATTTGCATAACATTTCTCTATTATTGTTACTGTGAACCGAATATCTGATAATCATGAAATCAAAAGAGTTTTCATTCTGAATGGTAAAAATCAATTTTTTTTAACAAGGTTTACAATACCGGGTTTTCAAATATTAATGTATATATGTTTTTTCACTTTTTGAAAATTTTAAGAATGTTTTTATTGCCACACGAATGCATTCAAATGTCTGAATTGCTTATTGGATTTTGTTTGGTTCCACTTAATCAGTTTTAATTCAATATACAATGTCATAAAGTGCTCGCTATTAAGTGAACCTGAAAAGGTTCCTAATGTCAAATACATGAAATTTAATAAAAAAAAAAAACCAAATGCATGTTTTTGCTAATAAATTAATCCAACAATTAGGGAAAGACAGCTTCTAATAACAAAACACGAAAGCTATCTTGTCGCAATGAATATGTCTAACACGGGAATAGTTCACGACAAAAATAACAGCAATTACCCACACTCAAATCGATAGGGTCAAGTTAATGAATACGAGAGGTACGAAATGGTTTATATTAACACATAACCGAAACCAAGAGGGAAAAAACGGTGTCTTCAAACACACACATGGAATCGAAAGGGGTGAAACGGTGATATGCACACACAATGAAACCGAAAGGGACAACACGGTGTCTATTTTCAAACAAATGGCCTCGGAAAAGGACGAAACAAAAACAATCTTATTGAGGGAGAAAACTCTGTCTGATGACGTATATTTGTTGAATAAAGATATTTATTATATTGTGTCATTAATACCGACAACACGGTCTATACTAAGTTGTATTTTTCCATCACATTGAACACATGGAGAAAATGATACTGAATAGATATCTCGAAATCCTGTTGACCTCCCTGATGCTGACATACAAAACATAGAACGGCATGGTTAATATGACATTCGATACCCGTGTGATGTGTTGACATTTTGGATTACAACCACAAATCATGAACGTTAAAATATACCATTCTTTCAAACGAAATACTCTACCTACCTTGTGACCGCCAAGGGACTGTACAGAACACGGCAATATGGCAGTCTTCCCAGCTATAGCTGTCACATTCACAACCGGTACATCAAAGTTAGGTTCTAAGGTTTGGGCTGGAAAAAAAGAGAAAATAAATTTATTGAATTGTTACAATATTGTTCTTAATATGTGATCTAATGTGTTCTGTTGGTTCCGTTGTTGTATAATTTGTTCTCATTTGAGAACGTGACATTACTTGAATTGACCTAGATTTACATGGCGGGTATCGTCGATGAAGGAGACGACGCTTACTCTTCCGGAACACTTGGTCTTATTTTTTTTTGTACTATTTCACGAGTCTCCGTGCAATTCATTGTTCATATTTGCCCTAGTTTTACAGAATTTAAGTTTTAATTATGATTAATTTGAGATGTTTGTATTTTCTTCATTTTTTAGGCTCCAGACCTTATCATACAACTATAAATAATATCAATGTTGTTTGTTTTTGTTGTTGTTGTTGTTGTTTATTTATCACAGCCTGTGGAGTATTTCGTTATCAAGCAGTAAGTTTTAGACGATACGTGTTATCCATATTTGCCGAGATGTTTCACGAATTTTCGTTCTCCGATTCGTCCGTGATTATACTTCTACACGAAACCTTCTTTTGTTCTTTACTTCGTCGTGAGGCTTCTACTACGCGGTATGTTCGTTCTCCTCATTGATTTTAATTCTACGTGAGTTGTTTGTTGGCTCTCTAGTTTGCCCATTACTTCAGTTCTACACTAAGTATTTGCTCCCTATTTCGTCTGAGAGCTACGTTATAAACAACATCTTAGCTCAATACTTCGTCCGTATTAGTTGTATTCCCTGCTTTGTTTACGATTACATTCTACACACGATATTTCTGTTCTCTAATCTGATACAATTTTAGTCTTACTCCAGTCAGTCGCTTGCTCTTTGTTTTCTCTCTAATCGTAGCCTTACACAGCGTGTCACACGTGCAGTGGAGGTGACGCATTTGACCTCTAAATTAAACACATTTGGTCACGTGCTCTTCATGTTTCCGTTATTCTATCTTCATTAAAACTAATTAATACATTAAGCGAATGAGTTTGCACCTAAATAGTTTCTCTCTGTTCATGAAATAGGATGCGTTTCTTCAGTTAATTGTGAATAATATCCCTTTTCCTTCATGCAAAAACTTACATTACACCGCCATGTCGCATGCAAGCGTCTTGCAATATCTGTCTAATTTCAATTTATTTGCATTCCTCGTATATGTCGCGATGAAATTGTATCAATACAATTAGACTGACATGTACACGTATAACGGCTTTCAATAATCATATTTTAAGGAACTTAAAAACATGTGCCCATTTACCAAAACAAAACTTGGCACAGTTAAGGAAGTCAAAGCTTACGCATGCCGTAACCCTACAAGAGTGCAAAAAGATTGACCAGAATTCCAGTCCCGGTAATGCATTCGTTGCCTGTAATCCATTAGTAAGAATGGCAATATTTGCAAATATATCATTGGAACAAAACCTCCGAGTCATACGTCAGGCTTTTTAATGTTCCAACGACAGACCATTTAGTCCCAGATGACAAATACAGATATATTACTATACGAACCTCCACTGCTTAACTGTGACATATGACCTCGACATGCAATTAGGAACTCTCCAAACAAAAGTGGGAAGAAAGCATTGATTTCATAGTAAAATGGATGGTATGATAGACGAGGGGCGCTGTCGAAGGTTATTTTTCATTACGGTTGTGTAGAGAAGATTCTGTACCAATATGAGTGGTGAAACGCTCACTTATTGCGCCAGAAAACTAATTACCGGATGGCAATATGCTAAGCTGGTTATCACAATCTTGCTGGGGTTGTTTGTGAACGTGTATGATGAATAAGGAAACCATCAATGTCTGACACGTTTAATAAAATAAACGCAATGCCACCAGGAAGATTATGTCGTTGTGTGGTATAAGAACATTACCACAGAGACATTCGATTAACACAGCAAAGAACATTCAGAAACGAAAGGTATTTGTTTTGTGTTCCTTTTTTTCAATTCATGATTAACTGAATGCAAGAAATTTTGATGAACAATCGTTACATAAAATACACTTCCGTGCTGTCTTTGGCTGTAGACGTGGCAATTTGAGCTTTATATTGATGGAGATGCCATCATGGGTCGAATATTCCTCGAGAGTAACGGTTCTCCAAACAAATGTCAACGGCATTTCGTATTCAACCAAGCTTGGTGCACAATACTTCACATCCTTACAAAAATCTTGTTTTTTTTTTTTTTTTTCGTCCTAACGTGTAAAACTATGTTTTAACGAACAAGTCATGTGTGTGATCCAAAGTTCACATCCAAACAAATAACCATTTCTCGGAATGATGTGAAGAGGAGTGTGGTTGTGCTCTTGAGCAAGACACTGTACCGTAATTGGTCTTGATGCCATGCGATACACCTTCCGTATGAGGTTCAGTGAGGTAGTCACCGTTCACGTCAGAGACCTTGTCTCAAAATGAACTTGGCTGTTCTCGAAGCGATAAGCCCAGCACACAAGTATAATACTTATATGCGATGATACAATAAGTGTTTGTTATAAATTATAATACAATGATTTATTTCATGAATTACAAGCTGTCATGAATAACGTCTCAAAGTACACTTATATGTATCGTAAGTAGCTGATCGTTACCATCTTAGTGGAGATGTTGGTTCCTGTTGGATTAAACCTTTCCTCATATGAACAGTTCTATCGGTGTTATGTGCACCCAAATAGATGCCTTTTATTGAACTTTAGGTAAATACGTCTCAGAAAAAGACAAAATAGCAAACATCATTGGGAATGCTTTTAAGTATTTTTGACGTAAAGTGTCAAAACTTGTGTTGTAAACAGCATAAAAATTGGATATTATAAGGTATTTCGATAAACATGGAAACTGCTCTTCAATTTTAACAGTTTCCCAATTCAATATGTTATTGATATACTGCTCGCGTGTGAAAGATACTTGACTAGCCATACTTTTTCTTCACTTTGTAACGCCGTGGGACTCGTTGTAGAACTTGGACCCCGTGGTGTGGACGTTTGAATACTGTCAGGTATGTCCCCGCCTTCTGGGATAAAGTACAGTCCATTTCACAGACCCACAAATCAGAGGATGATGCTGGCCTCCGTTGCAAGAACCTCTGTTATGTTTGTGCCACATGGTATGTTACAATGGAAAGCAGGTTTTCTGTAATCCGTTTTGAGTCCCTTTATTGACACCATACAGCTAGTACAAATACTTAATCAGAAGCCGATTGTTTTAAGTTTGTATTAAATTATAGTTACAGTTGGATTTCAAATTCATGTTTGCATGGGAATTAAGATTAACAAAACCCAGTTTTTCCCGGGGAACAGGTAAGTATCTGCTGTCTTATCGCCAGCACCAGACATGTGAACTTGACAAATACAAGTAAGGAGTGTCACGTTCTCAAACAAGGTACATGTGAACGTGGCCACAAGGCTGTATCAACTAATAACACGCTTGACATAACTAAGATGAGAGCAGAATCTAATCTATTTAAAGAGTTAAGGATAATTACACTACGTTTTGATCCCCAAAGTATTACCCAATTTCCCCACTGCTGCCAAAAATGATTATGGGAAACTTGATGTGACCCAATTCTCTAATGTTCCTCTTTGATCGAATACCATTTGTACCAACATGAGATGAACGTAAGCGTTATTTATTAAACTATATGACGTTTATTGACTGACATCGGAATCCTGATTTAGGTACAAACGTGATGTTGAAGTATGAATTAAAGTATTACTGTCACGTGTACTTCCATATATGGTATACTCCCGTTTCTGATCCAATATCTCCTTACAAGCATAGTTTTTTTTACTGTTCTTACTGTATCTTGAAATTTACACATATTCTAGACAGCTGTCACCCGTTAACCTCGTTCTCCGTGTATTCCTAATATCACCATGAGACAAATATGGAAGTATTCTCGCACAAAGTGGAATCGTCACCGAATCCAAGGTCATGATGGTAAAATATTCACATGTAAAATGTGTTTAATGTCAACTTCACGCGTATAACACAGACGGCACGAACATAAATTTACACAGTAAGCTAAAACAATTCTGTACTTGTTTTTTATAGCATTTTTTCAAGATAATAAGTAATTAGATTTAGATAATTTAAACTTGAGATATCATAATTCCCAATTCACATAGCCATGTAATAACAAACAGACAAAATAACAGTATTTTCGCGATATATACCCACATTTATTCTCGCGGCACACACACACGTTTATTTTCTTGGTACATTCACAGGTTTATTTTTGTGCTACATACAAACCTTTATTTATGTAGTACGTGTACACGCGTGGAACAAACGTATATTTTCGTGGTACATACGCACGTATATGTTCGTGTTCCATAGATATTTTTGTTTTCGAGGCGCATTCATACGTTTATATTCGTGGTATATACACACGTGTTTTCTTAATGTGGAGTTCTAAAATGTTTATTTTCCGCTACATATATTATGTCTCCACTTCAGTTTTTTTTCTTACCATGTCACACATTATATCACAGTTAACAAGGCCAGCGGCGTGATTAAATCTTTATATAGTATCATTGCCTAAAGTTACCGCATTGTTGTATATGTACAAAGTAGTAACACAACAATGCATCGGATGCAGACGTCCTTATGTTAATACCATAACATATTAAATGCTTACATATTGTAAGATACATTAAGTTTAGGGGTTTATCACATAAATGCCTCGTTATTCAGTAAAGCGCCCTTTTGACATTAAAGCGTGTCACCAGTACAAGTGCAATATTGATATATTGTGACGTCAAATTCAGTCGATGAAATGACCTCACACTTTCACAGATTCCATTAGAACGTAACATTTTAGACTACATAGAGTCGAGAAGACTTCAATATTTGCCTGAAAAAAATTGATTACGTGATAAACAGGATATCAAATTCGTTTTCCGTTGATTTTTCATTTTAGATTTATCATATAGAGAGCCTTAACAATTTTAAAAGACTCAATTCATTATTTACTTATCAAATGTAAGTTAATGCAATTTTCTGTATCCACTG